AGTAAATGGGTTTAGGAGTTATCAATTTATTTATTAATTAAAATATTTATTGTCCACCTTTCCTTTGTTACTGAAGGCATTTTACAAATCCAGATTTAAAATACAAAATACATCCAACCACCAAATAATCCCACCCAAATGCCTGCCGTCTACATTCTAGGAAAAAGGCCTAGCAAAAAACTGGCCTTGCACGCCTTCTAAAAATATGTAGAGATGGCACCCCTCACCTCCTCAGGGAGCCTATTCCATGTGTGTGTGTGTGTGTCTATGTATATGTATATATCTATATATAGATATAGATATATAGCTATGTATATATGTATTAGAGAGGAATTAACCTAATTAAAGTAAATTAAAGTTATTCTAATTATCCTCCATGGCCAGTTCGTTCATATGCTAGATAAAGGAATGAAAATAACAATATGATTGAAATCACAGTTCTAAAGGAAACTTTCTTCAAAAATGTCAAAACAAATATTTATTTATTTATTTATTCAATTTATACCCTGCCCTCCCCGCCAAGACAGGCTCAGGGTGGCTTCCATAAAATGCATATATAAATACAATTAAGATCCATCATAAAAACAACTAAAACTGCTACCGAGAAGGTCCTGGCCCTGGTTATCGCCAAGCTGGTGTCCTTGGGACCTGGAAGGGCCAACTGGTTTCAGGCCCCTTAACGCAGTGCTCTCAGGGGAACATATGGGGAAAGGTGGTCCCTTAAGTATGCCGGATCCTGACCATAAAGGGCTTTAAAGGTCAAAAACAGCACCTTGAAGCAAATCCGGTATGCTATTGGCAGCCAGTGCAGTGTTTTCAGCACAGTCTGGATGTGTTCCCGTATGGGTAGACCCATCAACAGCCTGGACACAGCATTTTGCACTAGCTGCAGCTTCCAGATTTGAAACAAGGGCAGGCCTATGTAGAGAGCATTACAGTAGCCTAACCTCAAGGTGACCATCGTGTGGATCACTGTTGCCAAGTCGTTGCATTCGAGGAAGGGAACCAGTTGCCTGATCAGCCAAAGATGATAAAAGGCTGACTTGACAGTGGCTGCTACCTGGGCCTCCATTGTTAAAGAGGTATCCAGGAGCTCTCCCAAGCTCCTAACCCCCAGTGCTGGCATCAGCTGGCATCAGCCCCATCGAAGGTCTGGAGTGGGATCCCTACCCTTGGGCCACCCTGGCTCAAGCACAGGACCTCCGACTTCGTCGGATTTAGTTTCAGTTGACTCAGCCTAAGCCAACCAGCCACAGCTTGTAACACCTAGTCCAGATCTTCTGGGGTAGAGTCAGACTGTCTGCCCAACAACAGATAGAGCTGGGTGTTATCCATATATTGATGACACTGTCATACGTCTCCCTTGTTCCCAGCCTGACCGGACAGGTAAGCAGCCTGATAACAATATCATCTCCTCCTCAGAGGGGGAGGAACAGCCAGCTGCAATAGATCCCATTAATCTTCAGGGACAGGGGATGCAAGCTCTTGACCAGACACCGGCAAGCAATTTTCCCTCTCCTCCAGCTGCGAACAAGTTACCGGCATCACAGAGGAGAGGGAGGAGGCTGGGCCCAGTGTTTCTCCAACACCCCTCGAGAGCCGTCGCCGTCAGTGGAGATCAGAGCTCAGAACCCGTCGCAGTGAGCGTTTGATGCAGTGCAGGCACCTGTTGTCAGATGAGTACTTGCAGGGATGCGTGCCACAATTAGCAGCAGCTAACCAGCCCAGGGAGAGTCAGCTATAAATCCAGGATGGGGAAAGCTGCTTATTGTGGTCACAACGTATACTATGGCTGCATTACCACCCACTTTGTCTCCTGACTTGCTGACTGGAACCTCTGTTACTCTGAATTTGGACTGAACACTGGACCACCTGACTTCTGGACCCCTGACTCTTGGACTGACTGACGACTCCCCTTTCCGGATACCTGACCCTTGGACTGCCTCTTGACCACTCTCCTGCCTTGCACCTGTACTGTGAGTGATTACCTGGTCCCTTCTGCCTGGCTGTCCTGTGGAACTTCTGTCTGCTCCCACGCCAGACCCACCAGGACCAGTACACCCTAGCCCATTCACTCCGGGAAATCTGAGCAAGGAGGCGCATATAGATGTTAAACAGCATCAAGGAAAGTGCCTATAGGACAGCTGTTCCCCTAGTGCCACCCTTTGTCCCCAATCCTGAAGGAAGGATGCGAGCCACGGCAAGGCAAGCATTTGAACTCCAGAGTGGTGAGGCAGTGGATCAGTAGCTGATGGTCGATTGTGTCAAACACTGCTAACAGGTCTAACAACAGCACTGCTGACCCACCTCAATCCAGGTGCCTCTGAAGGTCATCTCTAGGGTGACCAATGCAGTCTCCATCCCATGTCCCAGGTGAAAACTGGACTGGAAGGGGTCTAAAATGGAAGTGTCATCCAAAAAGCTCTGTAGCTGGACTGTCACAGCCCTCTGAATTAACTTGCCCAAATATGAGCAATTCGGCCAGATCCAGAGATGGTTTTTTCAAGAGGGGATGGACCACTGTCTCCTTAAGTGTCCTAGGGAACAGCTCCTCTAAGAAGGACCTGTTAATAATCTCCCCTACAGCACCCTGAAACCCCTCGCAAGCAGCTTTCCCTAGCCACAATGGGCACAGGAGACACGTGGTGGGGCGTACAGCCAGGAGGAATTTGTCAACTTTCTCTAGGCTGAGTGGACTGAAGTGATCCATAACCTGATTATTAGATGTGCACGGAGCGTCGAGTTCACAATTTCTGTGAACATTTAAAGAAGCTAGCATAAGTTGCTCAAATTATTTTTTTAATGTTAATTTGTGTAAATAAGTGAAAATACATCCTCATCAGGAGAAGAACAAGCAGAATTTTGTATGCATAGTTGTCACAGGACAACAGATTAATGGTCTTCTTTAATTGTGCCTGGCTGCAGGACTTGCTAGCATGTAATTTTGCAGGTGCAAAACTGGTAATTAGACAGGCAAGTTACAACTAACATTAAGTTGCCTGGTGTGAAATTAACATACATTTAATACATTTTGAATAAGCAAACCCAGATATTTCCATATCCTCCAGGACCTGAGGGTCATTAAAATGTTTCATCAAAATTCTATTACCCATATACTTTAATTGCAAGAAATTATATTAAGTCCAGATCATCAAAATTCAACTGTCAGGTGTGATGTATCGTTGTAGAGAGCAACTATCAGGCCAAAAGAGTAACAAAGAAAAACAAAATTCCCTTGCAGTGAGTAGAACACGCATCAAGTTCAAGAAGCTCAAGAGTTTTCAGAATCAAGCTAGCAGAGGAAAAGAAGAGGAATTCCTTTTAAAAGCTAACTGAGGCCCCGGTCACACTGGGGGAAATAGGCGTGGCCGAAGTGCGGCTTTTTTTGGCCGCACCAAAAGAGATGCGCGGTGGTGGGATCGGACAGCCGCTGCGCAGGTCCTCCCCGGCATGATCAGATGCTGGGAGGAAGCCACGGACCAGAGAGCAAGGCCAGCACACTGCGCATGCGTGTGCATGCGCAGTTTGGCAGGACCTCGCATGCTGTGGGAGAGACGGGCGCGCCGGCAATCAGATGCCCGTCCCTGCAGCAGATTTTCAGGCAGGTAGTAGTGTTTTCTAGGGGTTTTTTTGATGCAGTTTTGCCCGGAAGGGACGGATTGGGGACGGGTGCATGCCGCTTCCCAGATGTTGCGGTGTGATCATGCCCGCTTGATGCGCCCCCAATCCGTCCCTCTCACGTGGCAAATCCTCCCATGTGACCAGGGCCTGAGATTCCTTTCACAGTTGATTGAGCACTTTTGCTAGACCAATTTTAGCTCAGGATTTCAGGGTAGCATAACCTTTGCCTAGTGGCATATGCTGGCATGAACTTCTGCTGCCCCCAGGAGAGTCAGTAAACAGTATGGCGAGGACCTTTTGGATTCACAGCAGTTAGCTTTTGCTGACTCCCGACAACACTGACATGAACTGGACATAAGTAGGCTAATCAAGAATTGCTGGATTCTCCCTTGATACAAACACTGCTGCCCTAAAAGTAGTAGCTGCAATTGAATGTTGTGATGGGAGAGCTCCTTCACACATCTGAGCTGGTTTGGGTAGTTCCAAGATTTCTTAGAAGCCCTCTAAAAATGCAGAGATCTTCCCAGAGTGTTTTAGAGCAATGGGGGGGGGGGCACCCTTATCAGCTTTTTATTGCTTCCAGCCCTCTACTAATGTCATTTCCCTTCCTTTTCTCAACCTCATGCTGTGTAGTGGAGGAGAAGAACTGGCAGCAAAGAGGTCTATTAATAGCAGATGCCTCACTCTTAAGTCACTATACTTAGAAGAACTGGGCAGTGATGCTTCTAAGTATGCTCAGTTGCCTACAGGAAGTTTGGGAATTGTAGTTTTCACTGAGCCTAGAGAAAGCACTCCCCAGCCTCCTGGTGACAATGGAACATTTAAAACTCGGGCCTCTACAGTGCTATTATCCACCCTTGACCCAATAAAGTGTCTCCAACCTATCACGAACTGGGCCTGAAATCAGAGAAAGTCCGAATTTGGTTTTTAACAGATTGGTAAGAGTAAACTCTAGATTGTGCTGTACTGGATGCCAAATTATGAGACTTGACCTCATTTCTAATTGGATGGCAAAAGACAATTTGGATCGAGAATAATGTGAGGCAATAAGCATGCCTATGATCTGAGAGAAAGATTCTAAAAATTGTGACAGCCTAGATCTTAAAGACTTGTGTCAACAGATTTTAATAAAACTGTTGATTTTGTGCCTCTATAGAAAATAGGATTTATATGAACTGGAATATAAAGCATTTGTCACTTGACCTTTTCTCCTGAAGTTTGTTTTGAAGAACAGTGAAACACCATAATCTCAGAAAAGATATTCTCCTTCGGCAGAGGAATCCCGGTGAACAGAACAATGTGATGGCTGAAGTACTTTTACAACAAAAGACCTGCTACTTATGATCCTCATGCCATTTTCAAGAATTAAAAGCAAATACCTCTTCAAGGACATCAGCAAGCTTACTGAGTATCTCTTCAGGGAGGCTCTGGAATGTTGGTACACTGTAATATAAAGTGAGAAATAATTTGTGAGCACTGATGTGGTTACTTTAAAAAAAGTCTTATCACTTGAAAAAAAGTTCTACTAGATCAAACCAAATGTGTTACCTTATAACTCCATATGGATTAACACTTGCGCAATAGTTCTTTTTAAATCAAAAGTGAAAAGCCAGTAAGAAAGGATATAGTTTTAGAAAACTGAATGAAAAATTCAATGTATCCTTCTTAAAGGACAAAAATAGATCCCAATGTTCAACTTCTGCCTCTTGTTAGATGTATATGATATTACATTTCTCATAATCCTTTTTCTTTTAGTTCTGTTAGGTGACACAGAATGATGAGTAAAGACACAGGACAGAAAACTGATTAAAGGAAGGCTAACTTCATACAGCTGAACTACCTGTTGCACAAGCCACTGCCATGGAAGCAGCCACTGTCACCACTGTAAAATATAGGATCACTTGACCTGTGTTTTCTTGTCTTCCAGTTGTGTGTTTCTCCACACTACCAGCTAATTTACTGGAGAACTCATCAGAGAATTGCACAACATGATGTTGTCTGTTTTGGATGGCCTTCCCATGTTGTGCGTAATATGTAGGTTCATTCTATAGCATGCAGAGGAACTCAACAGGATTTGGCCTCCTTTGCTCTTAGACAAAAACTTTATAGCAGGGAACTGATTAAATTCACTTCTGTAAAGCCAACCTTATGTGTTTGTAATGTCCACGTTTCTTTTTTAGTATATTCTACCATATTTAGTATATTCTTCCAGTGTTTACATTGGATTGGATCCAGACTACAGGTACAGGAATTTCTATTTGCAGGATATGATTTCCCCCACCTCCTATATCTTCCCCACAGCACTCTTAAATGCCCCTTGATATTATTCTGGGACATCACAGGCCAGGGAATGGAAAAATCATTCTCTCCATAAAAGTCCTCATGCCTGAGGAAACGTCAATCCAGATCCAAGGCATTATCTTCCATACACATCTAAGGTATTATCAGTAGTAAACAATATATCACTGGCCATCTCAGATTACCAAATCATTTTTATCTAGAAGAGATGTATAATTCTGCTGTACAGTATGTGAAAAACATAAAGCAAAAATTCAGAATGCTCAGATGTCTTTGTAGACTAAAGTCATTCCCCTAGCTCTTCGTCCCACTGTTATTCTAACAGAAGACAATTAATGTAGAAGAACAGTTGTATCACGTAAGCAAAAAGCAGAATGAAAACAGAATTATATTTTAAAATCAGCCTTGAATAAATAAAGGAAATGAATGAATGAATGAATGATATTCACTGTTCACAACATATAAAAGATGAAAACACTAAAAGGAATTTCTGTGTAGACTGCCCCAGGTTGGGGTAGAGGCTGCCCCAGATGCAGTTAAATCAATCCCTGTATCAGTGGCATATCTGATTAATTTAATCTCAATGAACAACAAAATGCTATAGTTGAAAGCTTAGGGTGAGGAACAAATTAAGCTCACACTTAAATAGGTAAAGTGAAAGGAAAAACATTTAAACCATTGTCCCAGCAATGGAGCAGGTAATCAGGCAATCAGAAATGTTGAGAAAGCACAAATTCCAAGTAAATGATATCTTGGAGCTACAGAACTGATACAACAGTACACTTGAGATCTAAAAGCTTTTAAATGGTAGGGCTACGCAACAGATCTGTCTCTTATGGAAGACAATCTAATACCACAGGGAAAGACAGTTTTGTTCAATCAGGATTAAAAATAAATATTTACAAGAACATATATGTTTAAGATTTCCGTAACTCAGATCATGAATAAAAATATGCTTACATTCTTCAGCCACATCAAATTGATAACTACAGGCATGGCATCATTTAATTAAATGATTGGACACTATGCCCAGAGAGGAAGTGTGAGTGTGTTCCATGGTGTTCATGAGGCAAAGGAATGCCCTCCCCCTTAATATTAGGAGAAAAATTTATTTGTTGTGCACACCTAAAAAGTTCTCCGGAACCATTCAGAGTAGAATAGTGGTTTTCAAACTTCCTTCCCCTTATTGACGTCCTTCCACATTGTTTAGTATGCTGAGGAACCCCCACATATCTGCCATGGCGCTCTTCCACATGATTCTGGGATGAGCTTTGAGGCTCAATACCAGTTTGGCTAGTCTTGCTCAAATGAATAACCCTAGAGTATATCAGTGCTCCCCTGCAAGTGCAGGAAAAGATGGCAGATACGATGCCCTCATGAACATTTTCCCAATGGATAAGCTTTTAAGAAACCACAGAATTTCCAGGAAAACAGTTTAAACCGGTAAAAGAAAGGGGGCAGCAACTGATCCTCAAAAGTGGGGGGGAAATGAAAACATGTTGTTTTCAAATTCTACAACTGGATGTATTTCTCAGCCTTAATGAGGTCAGCTGCCCTTTAAGCCAGCAGCCTTAGAGATGTTCTGGTTGGCCTATGACTCTGCTGAACTTAATGCCAGTTAGCTAAACTCCAAATAACTTTATTACCATATTCTCAAGTTGAAGAGAGAGACAACAAAAGCAACAAAAGTTGACAAGAGAGACAACAAAAGCAACAAACAACAGTAGTAAAACTCCCTCAGTACTTCTAACCAGAAACATCTCACTTTCAGCAGGGCTAATCTCATCTTTGAGAACTAGGCCTCTCCACCCAGCTGCTTATCCTCAAGAGAAAGTAGGGCCACACCTACTTTTTAGTTACACATAACTGACCTAGCAGCTACACAACTGCCATTTTAACTGTCATTTTTCTTCCTGTAAAGCGCAAGCCTATTTTATTTATTTATCAGATTATTATTTATCTCCTCCGAAAGGGACTCAAGAGCAGCTAACAGCATATAAAATACACCAATAAAAACAATACAAAGATACTATAAATAATCTTTAAAATATAAAATTATTCAAAATCTATCCCCATTAAAATCTATCCACTATCAGCTTAGCTCAACATATTTAGTGACCACAGAAATCTCTACATATGGGATGAGAATATTGATGTAATATAGAGTATATTAGAGGTGCAGTTTGGTGGTAGACCAGAGCGGGCAATGGAGTATTCACTCTCTATATGTTCAAAGTGGTTGTATAAATGAGTTGCTGCTCTGTTACTAAGGCATTGTGGTGCACACTTCTTTGTGAGTTACCAGATACATAGCAACTGTTTTTTCTCTTTCTCACTGAAGCTTTCACAATATATTTTAAAAACAGTTTTATAACAAAATCAGCAAAACCAAAATAACAGTGGCACAAACTGTAAGAAATATAGTTCCCGAAGCCAGCAAGTTCCATGATGGGGTCTGTGAGGCAAAGCACCCCTGGCCTCCCCTCCAAAGGTTAATGTGAATAGAAATGGGCCTGGTCCATCTTGCAGGTGTTATTAATCAGTCTATTGGCCTTCTCTTCTTCAAGGCCAGAGATGATGGTGGCATGATTAGCTTCTCATGGGAACCTGTGGTCTGTAGGATGGGGGGAGAAGAGTCAGGGGTGATGAGGTAATCCTTTAGAGGCTTCTCCCGAGAACATATCCTGATTGGATGTCATTCTCACCTGATGTTGCTGGGTCAAAAACTATAATTTTGCTAGGGCCCTGAAAAAGGGAGGCTAGTGGGGATCCTGATGAGCTAACGACCTAAACTATGACACACTTGCAGTTGCTAACACCATAGAAAACTCTCATACTTCGGCCTTTGAGTTTGGAATTGTATGTGCCATCTAATGCAAGCCCTAGGAGTGTTAGACAGTTGAGCTAGTCTTTCTTATTTTCTGGCTGCATGATTTTAGAGTAGTGTGTTGGCTGTATAATAAACCTTCTGACTGACAGAAATTAAAATAAACTTTATAAATCTTTTGAAACATAAACAATGGTCTGGTTACTTGTGTGAAAGTGCCCTGAGGACCCATGGCTTTCAGGCCTTGTGCACTTGCAAACAAAAGCTTATACCTTGAATAAAACTTTGGTGATCTTAAAGGTGCCACTGGACTTAAAACTCTGTTTTTCTGTCAACCTATCAATCATTCTAATATTTGTTAAAAGGGTTTCAGGGAAGGCAGACCACATACCCTTTTTTTGCCAACATAGGAGACATGATCGATATATGCATAATTAATTACATAGACTTCCTTGACACAAATAATTTCAGGTTTATATGTTCACTCCTGTGCAGATGTTAAAAGAAGTACTTGCTGTTATATTACCTTTGCAGGAATACACAATACATGTGGGAGACCTGCAAGGACTTGAGAACATCTCATTCCCCCTTCCCCCACTATTTTCTTTTTCCCCTTCCTTGGCAGTTCTCACAGCCTTCTTTTCATGCTTTCTTCTCTCCTTTCCACCCACCAGCCAACCTAACATTATCTGACCCCCTGTCTTCAGTTTTCCCTCCTTCCATCCCCCTGGCAGCCTTTTCCAGAAAACCTCTGGCCAACTTGCATGGTGACAGCTGACTGTTGCTCACTGAGGCACCTACAAGGACATGTATCTCACGTTCCTCTTTTTTCCCTCTAAAATTTTTGAAGCGGCAGAAATGGACAAACGTACGTTAACCTTGAAAGGCCACTCGGAAGATTCATTTGAAAATACTTGGCAAAGATTTTATGAATCGCATAAACATTATAACCTTACTTAAGCAAAACAATGGACAACTAAGAATAAGAAAAAAGAGAAAAAGAAGACCAAAATTCCTGTTGCAAAGCAACCTTTTTTTTGTATAAGGTAGAAGCTATATGTATTAGAAGAGGCAATAAGCAATATGTAAACATACTATACCCCCGTTTTATGTTTAGAAGTAGTGTATAGGGTTGCCAAGTCGGGCGGCGGAAATCAGGCCTCCAAAGCGGGGGTTTACCCACCACCCGCCCCCACTTGGCAGCCCTATTTCCAGACTATATACATTGATGATTATTATTATTTAAAACATTTATTCCACTTCTGAAGAAAATGGCTGCTTTGGAAGGTGGACTGTATGGCATTATACCCTGACGAGG